TCACCTTGTAATAACCTGCGATAGTTGAGTCTATTAGGGTAGAAAACGTAGAAAGTTAGTTACGTCACGACAGTGGGATGACCTTACATTAGTGATATAAGTTCTAGAATAACTAGTATTAAAATCCTAAATCGATTGCTTGTGTTTTGCATATATTTTGTGAATTGTTTGATTTCTCATCTTTATTGATATTTATCCCTTTATTTGTTTCATTAAAAACCCCAAAAACCAAATAATATGTTCACTTAGCTTAATTGGAATCATATAGGTTTGTAGTGCATTCATCACTTAGTCCTCAGTGGATCGACCCCTAAGTACTACAATTGTCTTTATTTTGCACTTGCAGTTTCCTAGGGTTATAAATTAAAACTCGTATTGCATCATTAAAACCCTGCACATCCTGCGAGTTTTGGAAACCCCCATCATAGACTGCTTGGCTTGAAAGATGATAACATAGCTTCAAATGGCCTTGAGAAGCCACTACAATATAAACCAGAAGAAAGCTCTATCATCTTTCAAAGGTGGATAAGTGGCCAATCTTTATAGAAACTAGGAATTGTCAAATTGAGTTGGGTGGACTCGACTTATGAGTTGTTAATCAAAACTATATATATGTTTGTGGAAATTTTTGATTTGTTAACAGTGGGTGCAGTAGCACTTTAGTATATACATATTACCAAAATATATACATGTAGATATTACAGAAATAAATTTGATTAAAAAATTTAAAACGTTATAAAGTGGTAAATAGCGCATTTTGTGATTGACATCAAACGCTTATAATCGTAACCACCCGTTAATACAGTGTTTACGGACGGTTAGTTTTAATTTTTTGGTGCACATGCCAATTGCATGTTATGGTACACAGGAACGGTAGGTTGGGGATCTGAACGCTACCTACCTGCTTCTTTAGTATTTTATGGTAAATTGTTTGTTTTGCTGATGTGGACAAGAGAGAAAACTCTCTAATTATATAATAAATAGATGTTATCGCTCTCTCTCGTGTCATAATCATTTGCTTTAAAGAGTATGTCCACCTCCCTGTAAATTAAAATCAAACGTTTAAAACAGATAGTAGAAACATTTTCTTATGCAATGTATAAAGTGAAAAGAGTTAACTAAGTACTTAATGTTAAAAGAAAATGAAAAGACTTGCTTTGACAGTAGCAAATGTCATTTTATTGGCATAAGTCCGAGTGTAACCAGCAATTGATTATGTAGCATCCATGGTCTCCAATCATCAATAATGGCATAACTGAGAGATCTATCTTTGAAGATTCAGGTTCAACTAATCGAATCACAAACATTCACACAAGAGAGTTCTATCTTTGAAGAATCAGGTTCAGATTGATACATCTTTTGATCTTCGCCAAGCAATAGTGCCCTTAGAACCGCATCACAAATACCATCATAGTGCACGATCAAATGTCCACCTTGAGGTATCTCGTGATATTTGATCCAAGGTAGCTTCTTCGAGATGCATCTATGAAGTTGAAACGGCACAACTTTGTCTTCGTTACCATGCCATATATGAACTAAACTCTCTCCGCTAATTGATACATCTGCTGGATCGAAGTCCCACTGCCCGAATCCCGCCAAGAAATCATCTCTTAGAGTATCAAATACATTCCTTTCACGCAGTTTATTCTAGAGAGACGAACAAGACTCCATTTATGTTATGGCTTTCCAAAAAAACTGATAAATTAAAATTTAAAAATTAATTATGGGATGGATATGAAAGTAGTCAAATGAGGAATTTGAACAATATATATTTATTAAATGTATTGTAAATCATATAGGATCCAAACCCGCGCTTTGGACGAAATATTCTCTAGTCTTATATCAAAGCTAAGAAAAT